TTGTACAGCTGCTTGTCATTGCTGCTGATAGTAGCTGCTCTTTCTTTTATTGCATCCATCATAAGGGTATATAAGTAATTCCACAACATCTTGAGTAAATTACAAAGTTTGTCCTTGTGTTGTACTCTTTGTTTTCAATATTATCCAAAAACAAATTTTTGTTGCCTTTTTACCACTGTTATGTTTTGCATTTGATCCTTCCAAAATCACACATTAAGCTATATCACGTGTTTTGCACACACAAGGGTATTTTCGTCCTTTCATCCTGCCATGTTCAAAAATTGGTTATTTTGTTTACGTTTTAGTAAACTCCAAAATGGTCCTTTCCATTTTCCATTTTCTTTGGTTTTCATTGCTAAAAGAATCTTTTTTCTACGCTCAATTTAACACCATGAAATCGAATTTGTTAAGTCCATGTAAAATGAACATTTTGCCCTTATTTTGAGTTATCTATTATTCTCTTATAGTAATTACGTATTATATGCCCTTGTTTAAAAATAAGTTTATTTTGTTCATTTTTAAATAGGGCCTAAAATATTACTCTTGTTCAAAACACATTATTTAAAGCAAGAGTGAAATTAACCTAATATATCATGTCACTGAGATAAAACTAGAGAGAAGAAATGATGAAAATACACTTGTGTGTAAAACAAGAGCAGAATCAACCTAATTTATCATGTCATCGAGATAAGACTAGAGAAAAGAAATGACAAAAGTACCCTTTTGTGAAAAACAAGAACAGACTTAAACTAATTTGTCATGTGTCACGGAGATAAAACTAGAGAGAAGAAATGAAGAAAATAGCCTCGGGGCCCACATTAAAAGAAAAGGCATAGCAAAGAGGCTGAAAATCTGACCTTACAAAGAGAAGCCCTGCAGTAAGAACCAATCCTCCGACAACCCATAAAACTTGTTCATTAATGGTTGTTGGAAGAGTTGTAAGAAGTTCTGAAATAAATGGCTCCTTAGGTTTGGGAATCACAATTAAATTAAAGAATGTATAAAAATTAAAGAACTCACCTAACAGAAGATTAGGGTTCACATATCGAAATGATGTTAAAGAAGATTAGGGTTCACATGTCTGAATGTTGCTTCCATATACGAGTAACTGAAGTAGAAGATGAGTCATGGGTACCATCAAAGTTAAGTTCTACAAAGTGACCACCTCCTTCACCTCTCGCCAGTCTTCCCGACTTCACACACATGCATTTCACTTCTTCACCTCCTTCACTTGTCCCCTCCAAGCTCAAAACCTACATATGTCTCAATAATATATCAATAAAATCTTCACACAACCATTTAAAAGATCTAATCCATTAGATACCTTCACAAAGTGTGTGAGGTCTGAAGGGACAATGAGAATGTATGGAACTCTAGGCATTTGAAGGGCTTTTGGAGCAAGCGACAAGTCTGCAGGAGTGTCTTTTGCGGCTTGGTACAGAGGATAAAAGTTGTTGTCACAAATGTAAAAATATTAAATTAAGAAAAAAGAAAAAAGAAAAATATTATTTGAATTTTGAAAACATGCCCGCATTGACTCAGCAGATAGTTTGTTAGTGTCTTCATGCGATTCTTGATCCCATGTGACACCACATCCATACTAAGTTGTTTCAATACTTCCACACTACAGCATCCTACTATCATCTATATTTTTTTCACCCAATTATTAAAATTTCTCAACTCACGTTTTTAAATAACAACACTTACCTTATTTGCTGAGATTGTTCCTGGATTTGTAATGCAAGTTATCTGTCGATCTTGATCAACTATATTCATATCAAAAGCAGGTTGCACAATCAAAAGATACAGTTTTAAGACTTCTTAGTCATCCAATACTTAGAGTAATTTACACTTTTGGTCCCTTTGTATAGACGATTTCTTCAATTTTGTTCGTCTAAGGCTTTTGTAAACGTGTTACAGGTAAAAAGAAAGGAGAAGTTTAGATCATTATACCCTCCTAAGGATTTCAAGATGGAATAAATCATCATAAAGCTTCTTTCTTGATCTCGGGGTGCTCTAAATCAATAAAAGGCCCTAACTGTTTATGAGATAAGTACAATGATTGTTAGTTTAGAGTGGTTTTGATTTTTGAACAGTTACAGGGTTAAAAATGTAAATTCTTACCAATATAAGCAACTGACGTTGCTTTCTTTGTGCACATGCAAGAAGATCAGAGAGTGGCTCAAAGAATAAGTTGCCAGTCATGGTGTAAGGGCCTGAAGCAATAATCTGCTCAAAGATGACATGGATAGAATCAGAGAGAATCCAGATAGTAAACTTAAAGGGGTGATTTAGTAAAATGAAGAACAAGCTTTACATACCAATGATAAATCTGATGTTATATCAGATAAATCAGCAGGCTTGTTATCTTCATCCATAACTTGTCTCTTCTTTTGAGGAATATTTTCATCATCGGGAACTGATAACGGTACATAATCAAAAAATTTTGTTGCAATTAAATAGTTCCCACTTGGATTATATCCTTTAATACCTACCACCTATCGAATTATGTATATGTTAAATGTTTTTTTTTGTCAGTTTCTGTAACATACACGTTCTGAAATTGTGTATTGTTATTATTAAAAGTGAATAAAATTGAGTGTTGACTTCTAACAAATAGTTTTTACTAGAAATGAAGTAAAACTATGTTTAAAATCACTCATAAAATATTGCAAGTCTTATGAGATTCCAATTAATAGTCAAATAATGAAAATTTAGAGAAAATATAAAATTTGAAATAAGTAAAATTTTATTATTTGATTTTGTAGAGAATCTCGTTAGAAGTGTTTAGGCGAAAACCTCGTTGAAATCCGAGTTATAACGAAGAAGTTATGATTAATCGAAGATCCAAGAACAAAACCGGCACGGCGCCGAATGACGTAAAAAGTGAGTTTTTGATAAACTACTTTTTAGCCTTAGTAATCTAAATGAAAGTCATAATATTTGTTAAAACGAGAAGTTCGATAAAATGAACGCCAAAATCTTATTTCGTATGAGGAAGTTATGATTTTTCGAAGTTTCAGCTTAGCAGTAGACTGCTAAGAACTCGAATTTTAGATCGATTGATTTTTAGCCGACACAACCTAAACTAGAATTGAAGGTCTCATCATTAGTAGTACAATGGTAAAAAGTCTGATGAAAACGGATGTCGGATGAAGAAGTTATGAATTTTTAACAGATTTTCCTATCCCGGTCTGTTAAAAATAATAATATTAAAATTAAATTCAAAATTAGCCAACAAAGTCTTAATGAAAGTTGTAGAGCATAGTTTTAGCTACACGTGCATATAAAGAACGTCTAAAATGGAGCTCGTATGCGAAAGTTATGAATTTTACAAGATTTGGCACAAAAATCGAGAAATTTTGCATGAATAGTGCTGCCACGTCGCATGAACAGTACCGGCCACCAAGACCATCCATGTATCCGACGTTGATGAGTCATGCGTGCCACGTATCACCGGTCCCTCGCATGTCCGACGCGTGCCGCTTCCAGATTCGACCGATATCGCGACCAGTAGCCTTCCGACGCGCGCCTCGCAGCTGACTCCGCTCCGTGTCAGCCTTCCGAGCCTCGCACCTGGCCGCCTCACATGCGCGACGTCTGGCCTCCGAACCAAGCTCCTGCTTCCGCATGGCCTTCCCAGCTGCTGACTCATCCAGCCTTGGATCTGAACCTCAGCCCTATACAAGGGAGGGCTGCGAGGTCTTCCAGGTAATTTTAGAAAATTGCCATTTTTGGCCCCCTTTTCCATATTTTCACTATTTTGACTTCCCCTGAAGCCCCGGTACTGATTCCAAAGCCCGAAACATGCCCCGAGACTCCCGATAAGCCCGGAAGTTTTATCTTTTCGGTTTCGAAGCTCTACCTTCGCAGAGCCCGATTTTCAAGAAAACTCCCGGTTTTCAACGACGAAAGTCATATTTAGAGCCGAAGTACTGCCCAAATTATTATTTTGACCCCCGGTTAATTTCACAGTGAGTTCAATATATAGGAAGAATTGTATGTTATGTGTTATATGTGCTATGTGCTTTTTAGTGTTCTTATTCCGGGTTATTTTCCTGTGTTATTTTTATTCGCTATTTTTAATAGCAAAGTTATACCTTTGACCATGTGATCAGTGAAAGGACTTAGATTCACGGTGGTACTGGTATGTAGCCTCTGGCCATATAGAACATGTCTCGTAAAAGAATGCCTTCTATTCGATGGCATTGGCAGAAGGTTAATAGGAATGGTATGTAGCCTCTGACCATGTAGAACATGACTCCATAAGAGAATGACCTCTATTCTATGGTATTGGCAAATTGTTAGATAGGGCTATAAGCCTGAAATCTACCAAAATGTTAATCAGAAATTATATGTCTTTTGTTCCTTTTGGGCCAAAGCCTTATTGATGCATATCAAGTATGGAAATCGTTATGTCTCATTAATCGTAAATCTTTGAATCAAATCTTGAGTTGATATTGAGAACCTGACATATGATATGTATATGCTATTGTTGTTCTTGTTCTCTTTTGCTTCTGTCATATTGGTATATATAAGGCATAAGATTATATTATATCTATTTATTGAATTCACTAAGCGTTATTGCTTATCCCTCTCAATATTTAACAATTGCAGGTGATGAGTATCCAATATAGCTTTATACTGCTGAAAGATTTATAATAGTTAATACTATTTCTCTGTATTTGAATGTTCATGTATGTATATGAATAGTAGATTCCTGGGTAGATATGAAATCTAATAAAACTTAGTCAGTTTGTATCCAATCTTTTGTAATCACTTTATTAATATAAAATATTGTTTTATAAATATGCATGTAGCATGTTTTGAGGAAGTAACTTAAGAATAATGTTGGAATAGTATGAAAGTTTGGGTCTTTCATAAATAAGAATGTTTGGGTCTTTCAGTTTCCATTTTTTAACTATCTACCTGGCGTGGGAAAAGGGAAAACTGGTCCAGTTTCTGTAAGTCAAGGCGTACACGTTAACCTCCAGAATGCTCAACACTGTTCAAACTAGTAACAAAGGAAAATAGTAAGGTCAAAGATGTTTGAAAAGAGCATAAAGATTCAACAATATTACCTTCTTTGAAGCATGATTGGTTTTTCCTTTAAACGCCCTTCTTCTTCACAACAAATCATGCCAATGACAAATATACTTTTCTGATAAGGAATCAAGAGATGTAATTTATGTTGTTCAAGCTCTTCAAAGATGATAAAAAAGAAAAGAATAATTCTAATAAAATAGAGATAGGAATTACTTGGGAAGTAACGGATGGATCAACAGGTTCCTAATAAAGTTGAGATGCAACCATGGCTTTTAAATACTACATGATTTTATCCTCAAGATAATTAAACTAAACTTCCAAAAACATTAAATTTAGTGATGTAAGAATAATCATGAGACAAAAATCAATCAAAATTAAGAGAATGCTACAATACCTTGTCTTCTATCCTATCATACATGTATATGCATCCATGATCTAATCAACAGCTCCATTCCAACCTTTTCCAAACCACCCTCATATTGCTCCTCCTAATTCATCATATTCATCACCTCCTCCAACCACCATCCTTCACCGCCTCATCCAATTTTCATGGAGCCGCTACACTGCTCTAGCCTCCGAGCCGAGCCCTCAAATCGATCAAACCACTTGGTGATCTCAAATCTCACGTGATGCACGTCAGCGAGGACATGAGCCCAAAGAGGGCTCTGTAAGAACCTCGATATCTTCTTCTCGATCTTCTCCATCTTCCGTGACAACTATAGGTTCTTGTAGACATTCCAACGGCTAGAGACGAGGAATTTTCCAACGAGTTCGAAGCTGTTGTGGAGAGCTCTAGAGAGAGTATCGAGCTGCATCTGATGTGTTGTAGTTAACTCCACGTCGGAGTACTTTATCTGAAATACGGTTACGTTATTCCTTAAGGATAAACAAAAGGGATTCAATAGCGGCGGAGGAGGATTAAGGTTTACAGAGAAAAGGAGAAGGAGAGAGTGAAGGTTGCCAGCTAGGGGAGAGGAAAAATCTTATGGTGAAATTCAAACAGGGTTTGAGATAAACAAAAGGGAAAGAACATGAAGGAGAAGGAGGAGAACACATGAAGGAGAAGGAGAAAGGAGGAGACGTAACAGGCAGGGTTTTGATTTTTTTTTGGGATTTCATTTCCCCCTTATCCACTAAACACGCTCATTAATATTATAAAGCGACACTTCTAGAGGACGCGCATTTAACATGCAGCGCCCTCTGTGTTTTTCATTTTTTTTCTTATGACAGTAATTTAAGGGCACGCAATAATGCGTGACCTAAATTGTTAAATTTTTTAAAGAGATGACATTTTTTTAATGTCACTCTCTTTTGCGTAACATAAATCAATGAGTGTCATGGTTTGCACGTTATAAAAGGGTCTTTTTCTTGTAGTGGATATTGGTTTCGACATAAGATTATTACGAGTGGCTATCTTGCTACTAAACTTACGTCTAAAGTCAATAGCTACCCAGGAATATTCATTCTCAATACTAAGTGGATTGCTCCTAGAGTGGCTAGTGATATAACCTAAGTGGTTAACGTAGCACTTGATAAGGGACAACAATATTTCTAAATAAGACATTGTAGTAAAAGTGAATTAGTTTCTAAGTGTACCTAGATGAATGAATATAATATAAAATTCCCATACATACACCAAAAAAATTGTGTTTTCAAAAGTTTAAGTTGAAAGTCGTTTTGAACATAATTCTACTATAATCGTTTCCAGCCTTACACTAACTTTCCTTAATTAAGCATAGTTAGCCAGGCTATACATAATTAAAGGCTAATAATGCGTACTCGAATTAGTTATACCAGTAGTATGTTCAATATTTTTGAACGTTTTGAAATTTTTTGTATATAGTTGTGGTTCTCCAAAGGAAAACCGGTATTCTCTATAATATTCGGCTCTGATACCATTTCTATCACACACCGCTAAAGCGGAAACACGATGCGTGGTAGTACAAAGGGTCTCATAGAAAAATATAAAAGACAACACCAACCATAGTATTAAAAAGTATTACAATTTACAATGTGTTTGAACATATTTTAAAAGAAATTGCAACGCAATTGAAATACAACCCATGTGAATGTTCCTAAAGGTGATGTGTCCTTAAGTGCCATCTTATAGACGAGTTCTCGAAAAAGCATGGAAAATGAGCGGTCAACTACCGAAATAGTTGGTGAGTACTCAAAGGTTAAAAATAATATTGGTTTCATGAATCGTAATCAAAGTTTTCATAGAAGTTTCCATAAATAAAAATACATTGCTAAAATAAGTAAATAAGTTTACATAAACAAAGTTCATTGTCATCATGAGAAATATAGTATGTTGCCAAATGAGATGCAAAGTTCACATTCTCATGGGAAATAAAGTTCATTACTAAAATGATTAAATAAGTTTCGTTGCTAAAATGAGTAGACAAGTTTTGTTGATAAAATAAGTCTAGAAGTTTCAGCGCTAAAATGAGTATACAAGTTTCGTTGATAAAATGACTATGCAAGTTTAATCGCTAAAATAAGTATACAGTTTTTGTTACTAAAATAAGTATAAAAGTTTCATTGCTAAAATAAGTATACAAGTGTTGTTGCTACCATGAGGATACAAGTTTTGTTGCCAAAATGAGTATATAAGTTTCGTTGCTAAAATGAGTATACAAGTGTCACTACTATCATGAGTATACAAGTTTCGTATGTGCATAATGATTCCATTCATGAGTTCACAACCCAAGCCTAATGACCGAATCGTTCCCTATTAACTAATATGTGTATCGTAGACATATAGAATAAAATGATAATATGCACTCAAGTGAATCGTGCGAGAGAGGAGTTGTCTACCTCCTGATAGCGCTATCCATAATGACCATAGGCTCAAAAGAGTTAATGAGTTGTGTCAAATGATTCCAGTGACTTAACCACGATACATGCCTCATGAATTTAAGTAACATACACATACATGTAAAAGATAGCAACGAAGTTTGATACGAGTCAAAATAAATACAACGAATATAAATAGTTTAGGACAAAAACATTTTAAAAACCGAAAATAGGGGGATCTGTGAATACTCACAATGCTTTGATATGATGCTAACGATGCCTTGAACTTGGTTCCGCTTGTATCACTACCAATTCCTACAACGATGTTACACACTAATGAGTCTCTAATCGAAATCTAATGCTATTATACTAACTACTATAATAGAACTATGCCAATAATGTGTCAAATCCGATATTGATAAGGTATAAACATGTTTCTATGAATATTAAATTTCCATGAATCAATTGTTATATAGCAATTTAAGTGGAAAATTCTCATTATTAAAATGTTAATATTTAACCTTTAAGAGGTGTTCAAATGATTAAATATTCAAAAAGTAAATCAATTTAGTTCTAAAATTTCCCAAGCTTTGTATTTCAGTTTCAACTGAAGTCAAAGATGTTAAGATAAATTTACTTGAATTTTTTATTTGTCTAACTATTTTTCACCATTTTGATTCCTTCACTAATCACAAAATCATGGAAAAATAGTAAATTATCATAAAAAAAAAAGCGTATAATATTTGTGTAACTGTTTTACAGTATACATAATCCGGGAAATTTATTGAAAGTCATTTTTGAACAAAAAATCCATATTTTTAGAATTTAAGTGTGTTTTATACTAAGAAAATAGAAATAAATAGTAAATTGTTAAGATAAATTCCCAAAACACTTATTTATGGTTATAATGTAATAAAAGATTTCCTGGTAAATGTTTATTAATTTCGGATGAGTTTAAATATTTTTCACTTATTTAGTTGTTATCATATACATTAAATCTTCGAAAAATAGTAAAAGTTATGGAAAATTCATCAATTCTTTTTGTGATGCTTACATTATATATAGAAGCTTCGAAAAATAATGTATGTGATTTTGATAGCTTGAAACACGATTTTTGTTATTTATTTGCCTTAATAACAATAAAATAAAAACTAATGGTAAATAGTAGTAAATTTTTCTCAAACTTCATGGAGGATGTTGGATTACAGTATAGGTCGTTCATGAATTCTTCCAAAATTTATTTAGTAGTTTAAGTATTTTATATACGTTAACACTCTATTTTCTTATTATTTTCATGTAAAAATCAATAAAATATATATTGAGCTGAAAGTTTCCAGAATTCATCTTCATGAAATTTAATAATAGTGAAAAATTGTTTACTTATTTTGGATGTCTAAAAACATGCCTAAAAGCTTAATATATAATAGAAAAAACTTGGTTTTTGTGATTTTGGTAAAAGTTATTGATGTCATTTGGAGAATTTTCCAACATTTTCCAAAGAGTTTTGAATCAATATCTTTTTGTAACTTTGATCTTATGATTTTAGGAGTTTAAAATAGTTTTTGAAGGATTTTTATTGATTAAGAAGTCCTTTGAACACGCAACACAAAACTAGTATTCACATATAGGTGTTGTTTGAGCAATAGTTTTGTAAAAATTGTTAAAAATTGAAATCTTAATGTTTTGAAGTGAGACTACTTGGGTTGGAAAGAAAATTCATTTCATTATAATCCATACTAATAATCACGGTTTTTAGTTAATAAATGAGAGAGATATGGAAGTTCAAAGTCAGGTGAAGTAATTTGGCAGATTACATGTATGATAATTAGTTAGAAAAGTGAATTTTCATCATTACTTTGAGTAAATCCTTTGAAATATTTTAATGGTATCATGATAAATTCCTTTTCTAGTGATGTTTCCAGAGATCAAAAATATTTAAAATCGTAAAATACATACATGTATTCATGTATAAAATCTTGTTTCTCAAGAACTCTTAACTTGAGTTTGGTGTTCTTAACTTGAAAACCGATTTTTGTGTTAAGATCATGAGCATGCAACCATGTTATTCCACATGAATGGTGTTAAAACACATCCATGATGTTATAAAAACCATTTAAACCAAATTAAAATAAGTTTGAAGAAGATGAAGAAGTAAAAGTTGGTTTTTGAAGCAGTATGCACATGCATGGCTTAAATAATTGTCTAAACATAGGTTTGATCATAAATTTTCACCATTTCTAATATAGGAAACATGTGATGGTTAAAATCTAAAAAGATCATCCTCAAATCCTTAGTGTAGGAAGAAAATACTCATGAACTTGAAAAATAAGATGAAAATGCATAAAAACTGATAAAAATGGTTATTGATCTTCAAGAGATGTCTGTTCTTTACCTTAAATTTATTTGTGGCTTTAAAAAACCTTATGAATCTCCATAATTTCATGGTTAAGAGGCTGTGTCCATGGTGTTTGGAGAAAAAATTTAGAGAGAAGGTAGATAGAGTTTTCTAGAGAGAGAAAGAAGAAAGATGTGTGCGTGTGTGTTAGAGAATGAGAGAGATATATGGAGAGATAGGGAGAGATCCAAATTTAAGAGAGAGAAAGACAGGGGAGAGATGGGTTAAGGTGATTTGGAAGTTACATCTCCAACCAATATGTCCTTCTATCATTTTTATAAAATTTGGCTTGAACTTTTAAAATTTTCTAGGCTTAATTGTATAAATTTCAAGGTTTATTTGTGTCAATTTTTAGTTATGTATTCTTGTTTTTAGAAATAAGCCCATATATGTTTATATTCTAATTCATATTTTTGATAAATAATTTAAATTATAATTTATGTTTTATAAGCATAAGTATCATATTTCACATAATTAAATAAGAATTCATAAATTGATAATTTATGATTTGAT